ATTCTTCACCTTCACATGTATTCTTTTACTTCCTCAGTGTATATGACTAAAACGTATACAATCACAATCTTATGATTAATCGTGACAATGATCCTGGTGTTAATACTGATTGTTTTCATTTCTTTTTTTTTTTTTTATCGATATCAGGGATCGAACTCATGACTGTATGCTTGCAAGGCAGGCACTTATGCCGCTGAGCTAAATCCCCAGCCTGTTTTCATTTCTTCTGTCAATAACTTTGGTTTAAACTTTACTAAGAGATGATATTCCTCATTCTTACAGCACTGGCAGATCAAAAAACCAAATTACCACAAGCTCTCTTTTATAAATATATGAATAATAAACAAAATCTTCAGAAACTTCCCCTTAATGTTCAACTTTGTATTCTTCACCTTCACATGTATTCTTTTACTTCCTCAGTGTATATGACTAAAACGTATACAATCACAATCTTATGATTAATCGTGACAATGATCCTGGTGTTAATACTGATTGTTTTCATTTCTTTTTTTTTTTTTTATCGATATCAGGGATCGAACTCATGACTGTATGCTTGCAAGGCAGGCACTTATGCCGCTGAGCTAAATCCCCAGCCTGTTTTCATTTCTTCTGTCAATAACTTTGGTTTAAACTTTACTAAGAGATGATATTCCTCATTCTTACAGCACTGGCAGATCAAAAAACCAAATTACCACAAGCTCTCTTTTATAAATATATGAATAATAAACAAAATCTTCAGAAACTTCCCCTTAATGTTCAACTCAGGATGAACCGACCCTGAACTAACTTACTATTAATCACTGAGTACGTACTAAGACAGAGCTATGTGCAATATGTGTTAGGCACTCTGGGAGGAGAAAGGCCAGCATTTTCAAGGAATTTAGTAAGGAGACTCAGTTTGCAAGAAAAGGAGGGCATGATGCAAACAAAACTACCAGTATTAAAATAATGCCTGTAATTCCACTATGGAAAGTTGAAGCAGAAGGGTCACAAATTTGCAGTGAATTCAATGCTAGCCTGGGTTATAGTGGAAACTCAATCTCCAAAAAAATAAATAAATACACACATACATACATAAAAGGATCACTTTTCATTGTTGTAATCAGAACAGCATGAATTTACAGGTAGAGGCTTTCTTTCTATAAAACTTTTTATCATGAAAATTTTAAGGGGCCAGGGATTTAGCTCACTGGCACAAGCACCTGCCTGCAAAGTGTGAAGCTGTGAGTTTGAGCCTCAGTACCATAAAAAAAAAATTTTTTTTTAAAAAGAAATTTTAAAAAACACAGCCAAGCACGGTGGTACATGCCTGTATTTCCAACACTCCACAGTTGAAAAGACCACCACAAGTTCCAGGCCAGCCTGAACTACTGGACTACACTGGGAAACTTTGTTTCAAAAAAATACAAATTTAAACATGTAAAAGTAGGGGCTGGGGATTTAGCTCAGCGGCATAAGCGCCTACCTTGCAAGCAGGCAGTCATGAGTTCGATCCCTGGTACCAATAAAAACGAAAAAGACAAACAAAAAAAATGTAAAAGTAAATAGAATAAAATTATGAATTTCCAACATACTCATCACTGAGCTTCAGCTGTTATCATTTCCTGGCCAGTAGCGTTTTGTAGTTTACACAATCTTTCTCTATAAAACAGAAACAATGCCTATCTTAGGAACTTACAAGAATTAAATGAGTATATATTAAATACCATGTATATAATGACTCAAAAAGAACTAGGAAGCAGTCTGATTTCCTAATTCTCACCTCCTGTACAACAACCTCTCTTAAAATGATGTAAAACTTTCACCATCTCAGCTGGGCGTGGTGGCTCAAGCTTGTAATCCCAGCACTCGGGAGGCTGAGATGGGAGGATCTTTGCACGTTTGAGACCAGCCTGGGCTACAAAGTGAGCTCAAGGTCAGCCTGAACGGCATAGTGAGACCCCGTCTCAAAAAAGACCAAAAAAAAAAACCTTTCACCATCTCAGAACATGCTAGAGGTGAAGGGCTAGCAATCTATTTTGAGGCGCTTCCTGACCATAAACCAAATAAAGCCAACTAAACTAAGTACAGTATTTTAGTAGAATAAAACTTATAAAATCTATCAAACTTCATAAAGTTACTTCTCCCTTAAACACTAATAGAGCAGAGCCAGCCATGATGACACATGCCTGCAATCCCAGCAGTTGAGAGGCTAAGACAAGAGAATCCCCACAACTACACATTAAGACTCTTTAAAAAAAAAAAAAAAAAAAAAAAAAAACACAATTAGTAGAGCAGACCAACATCACAAAGAAGTATCATGGAGCCAATCTACCTACTAAAATACTTGAGTTTTCCCTATTTCTTGCCCATTGTGTTTTCTATTTTTTCAACCACCTCTATACAGTACAGTAAAAAACAGCATGGCACTCATGAGGACTCAGAGCTGGGCCAGAGTAGGAGAAACACTCAATAAGTTACACAAGACATGACGGAATCACCTTACCTTCCTTTCCGATTTGGTCCACCAGAAAACTCCAACAGGAATCTTGTGTTCCATACTATCTTATATTGAGATGCAGTTCATTGCTACTAAAACTATCATATACTTTGTCTTTTTAAAACACAAATGCTGCTGGGCATGGTGGTGCACTCCTATAATCCCAGCAGTTGAGAAGGTGAGGCAGGAAGACAGATCAAAGCAACTTTGAGGCCAGCCTGGCTAACGTAAGGAGTTGAAGAGCAGTCTTAATTGTGTATGGAGACACAGTCTCAAACAAATACAAGTAGAAAGCAAGTAAGCAAGCAAGAAAGAAGAAAGAAAGAAAAGACATCAAAACTGCTCACCAAGGCCCAGGGGTTTAGCTCAGCAGCACAAGCACCTGCCTGGCAAGCTCCAGGTCATGAGTTCGATCCCCGGTACCAAGAAGAAAAAAAAAAAAAAAAAAGGAAAAAAGAAACTGATCACGAAGATTAGAGTTACTCCCATTTCCATTTCTCAGCTGTTTTGGGATTATGTACATATCACTTAAATTTCCTTTCAAATTATCTTCAATCAACAATTATCTTTTCCCTATATGAAAACACAATGAGTTCTTGACTTACCATAATTGAAAACAGCATAATCTTCCATTAGGTCAAAGTTTTCTACTTAGCCTGTCATAGTGGCATATGCCTGATATCCTAGCACTTGGGAAGACTGTAGGAAGTTAAAGAGTCCAGCCTAGGCTACAAAGTGAGTTCAAAGCCAACCTGAACCACACAGAGCCTGTCTCAAAAAAAACAAAACAGGACTGGGGATTTAGCTCAGTGGCATAAGTGCCTGCCTGGCAAGCTCGAGGTTGCGAGTTCGATCCCTGGCACAAAAAAAAAAAAAAAAAAAAAAAACACAACAAGAAAACAAAGCCGGGTGTGATGGCAACACGCTCATAATCCCAGCAATGGGGAGGCTGAGGCAGTAGGATCCTTTAGAGTTGAAAACTAGCCTAGGCTACAAAGTGAGCTCAAGGCCAGCCTGAACTGCAGAGACCCTGTCTGAAAAGCAAAAAACAAAACCAAACAATTTTATAAAGAAGTTTTCTACTTAAAACTGCTTTTATTTTCAAATTACCCGGTTGGTTTTTGTTTCCCTAGGATAATTATAATTAAGTAGCTACAGCACTTCAATGTTTGCCAAGTGCTTTAAGTACTTAATGCTTCTTTGCACCCTGTGAAAAGGTAACTCCTTATTTTATAAAGGAAAGGAAAGGAAATGAGTAACTCACTATCTTGTTCAGTATGAAAGCAAATTAAAGGGCTGGGGATTTAGCTCAGCGGCATAAGCGCAGGCCTTGCCCTTGCAAGTGTGTGGTCGTTAGTTCGATCCTTGGTATCAATAAAAAAAAAAAAAAAGAAAGAAAGAAAGCAAATTAATGGGCGACCTTCAAACCATCTTCAGAAGATACTATGGGCTACTACTATGCTATTTTCTAAATCAGTGAAGTCAAACCACATTTGCTTCAAATAGTAAACCATCTTCAAATAATCTCTCTAGATTGCAACCAGATTTCCCATTCCTACACCTACAATCACCCATTTCTTACTCCCCACTACACAACTTCCATAGTCCACTGATAGTTCCATTTATCCTTCAACTTCTCCTGCAATATATATTCCACCTCTGCATGAGGGAGGGAGGCCTCTCATAGCCTTTTCGCCAAACCTCGGCACTCCTTTGTCAAAATTTGCATGTTGTCACCCCGTAAACAAGTATGCTCCTTGGTACACAACTTTCAAAGTCGCACAGCTTGCAGAGCCTCCTTCTTGGTAACTGGCCCGGGGCACCAGCACATTTCAAACTGTTTAAGAACAGAATATCGGTTCTTACAAAAACTCCTGTCCATCCGCTACGGCCACCAACGACTTCCTTTCCAGAACGTGATTATCCAAACAGCCTCCCCTTTCATCAGCGATCCCTTCCAGGGGACCCAAGGTTCCATCCATCTCTGTGGTTCCCCTCCCCTCACTCCTAGACTTCTGTCCATCTTACCAACCCTAACTTCTCTATCCCGTAGCTAAGCAGCAGCTCCACAGGAGGGGCGACTGCTGCTCTCAAAACTTGCAAGTTCTGCCTCTTATCACCTGTTCTCACTACAGCTTCCTCTCAGCTCTGCGACCCACCTTTGCCCCGGCTCGCTTCTCTCCCACCCTCTGATTCCTCCAGCCTAGAAACGGGGTGGCAGTCCCATCCCTAGGGATATTTCCACCCTCCAGGGTCATGCTACCCCCTCCATCACCTGCTCCGCCCATGGCCGGATGACATCCGTCGCTGCCGCCTCCTCCTCCACCCCCCTCCTCGGACGCCGGTCCCCTCGGCCGCTTTCCCCTGGCTTCAGCCGCCAGATTCAGCGGGGACGAGGGGGGCGTGCACCCCCTCCCGCGGCCCCCCGACACGCACCTGTTCGCCCCCCCGCCTCCTCTGGCACGGCCCGCGCCCCGACCCCCACCCCCGCCGCGTCCCGACCCCGAAGCCCCACACTCACCACGAATAGGTCTGCTCCGCCATGGCGCTGCTTCTCGCGGGCTCCGCCGCAGACTGAGGCCGGGCCCGGCGGCGGCGGGTTCGCTCGGGCCGGGAGCGAAAGGCGCGGCCGGGGCCCGGCGCCGTACCCTAGCTCGCTCGCTCCCTCGCTGCCCGGCTCGCACCACGGGCAGGCGTGCGGGTGGAAGGCCGGGAAGAGGCCGGGCTCCGAGGCGGCCCGGTTCCCTGGGCCCCGGGGCGGGGCGGCTCCGCTCTCGGCCTCCCTCACCCGCGGCGGCGGCGGCGGCTCCGCTGCGGCTCTAAACCCAACATGGCGGCGGCGGCGGCGGCGCGAAGAACAAGGGGGCCCCGGGGCGGGCGGAGGGCCCCACGGGCCGCGCTCACTGCGCACCTGGCCGCAGGAGCGCCGCGCTCAGGCGGCGGCGGCGGCGGCTGGAGGACATGGCCGGCAGGCGGGGGCGGAGGCGGCGGCGGCGGCGGCTGAGGGGGGCGCTAAACGGTGAGGCGAGGCCGCTCGGATCACACCCGCCGAAGGGAGGAGGGAGGAAGGGGGAAGGGGGCGGGAGCGAGCTTGGCCCCACGCGGTCACGTGCCCAAAACACGCTCACGTGACGCGCTCCCGGCCCATGCGCGGAGAAGTCGGCTTCTTGATTCGAGGCGACTGCAGCTTGCTGCTCGCTCAGCCTCTGGCCGCGGGGCCGCTTCGGGCCGCCCCTTCCCCACTCCCGCCCCTTTCCCAGAGACTGCTGCACCAGCAGCCAATCAGGAGCTCCGGCTCGCGTCTGTTGGCTGCCACTCAGCTGTCAACCTTCAATCAACAATCCAGTGACCGCGGGTGCCCACCTGTCAGTCAACCTGTCGGTGGGCAAGCTGAGCGCTGCATTCCTTGATTCCTGCTTTCCGTGGTTGCTTCATTCATTTAAAAACTCTCACATGCAGCCAAACTTTATAGCACTGAGGCGCAGTGCCAAGCCAAATACCCCATGCTTGTCTTCATGTAACTAGGTATATTAGATGCCAACTCTGTGTAAAGTCAGACTACCTGGTCTCACCCTACAGATGCTTAGATTCTAGAGAAAGAGACAAAGACAGTTCAAGCAGACCGATAAACGAAGATAGCCTTAGGTTCTGCTCAGTTTTATGAAGATGATAACACAAAGTAATGGGACAGAGTGCCCAGAGCTGGGGATTGCTTTAGGTAGAGCGGATGGTCAGAGTACCTTCTTTTTTTTTTTTTTTTTTTTCCCTAACCGCACTACAGAACAGAGTACCTTCTTGAAGAGGGGGCAATTGAACTGACACACTTGAAAGTTGAGAAGGAAAAGAATTTCTGGTAAGAGGAAAAAAAAAAGCTATAGTCACTGCCCATCTGGAGGGCTGGATGCAGGCAAAGAAGCAAACATAATAGAGCCAGGCCAATAGAGTGACTCTTGGAGGGAGGAGGAAGAGATGCATTCTGGAAGAACGTTACCTGGGACGTGAGTGAGGCAGTCTGAAAGTGGAAGGGAGAAAGAGACAACGAGGTGAGAGAAGATTCACCGATGGGCAGATTAGGGATGAGCTTGGGTCCAAGCGTGGCATGGATGACTTGTGCCATGGACTGTTGAGAAAAGACTAAAGCTCAGACTGGAGGGCCTACCTAAGCCTCCCTACCAGTTCCTGTGTTTGTGAATGAAAGTGATAAGATTTGAGCAAAGTGCTGAGGCCATAGACACACTAGCCCTCCCACAGGTCCCCTCCTGCCTTCACAGAAAGCAAAGCTTACAAACCTGAAACCAGCAAAGCCAAACTTGCCCAATTTTAGGACAGGATCTAGCTCTGCCCTAGTTTCCCAGGGCCTGCCCAGGCATATGGGAAACACCACACCTTCAGACTATCTCCAAATGGATCATTTGGCCATTGCCCATACAGCTGTCACTTGCCTGTTCCCCAAAGGGAACCCTGTAATAAAAAAGCCAGTACACTTTACTTCAGAAGCAAACTCTGTCTTCCTCCTTCCCCCACTGCCAGATGCCAGGACTAGTTAGCTTCATCGCGTTTCCTCCTCAGCTCCACCAGAGAGCCCTGGGAAAGGCCTTTCTGATAAAATCAAGGTTGTAGGGAGGGTCTGAACAGGGCTCCAAGAGATTAACTGACCACCAGAGACCCTTCTCTGCACGCACAGAGAGATGTCAACCTGCGAAGATCTGCACAGCCATAAAAATCACTGGATAGGACACCGAGCTGAAAAGTCAAAGGGCCTAAATTCTTGACATTAGTAGAGCTCTTACAGTTTGTTCAGGTCCATTTACAAAAAGTCAACTGTTCTCAAGAAATTTAAGAGCAAAAAAAAAAAAAAAGTCAACTGTGACCTTGAATGTGACACTTTGAGTCTCAAAGGCACATGAGTGAGGTTTTTGATCCCATGGGAAAGGCCAGAAGCTACAGGTAGGAGCGGTTTTGGGAGGTGCAGAAGCTTTTTCTCTGGGGAGCTAAAAACAAAACAGACCAGACATGTCACTAATGAAGCCAAAACCAAAACGATGTGCAGAGCCTCTGAGCAATTCACTTGAGCTTTGGTTCCCAGTGAGTCAGAGAAGACAAAGCCAAGTAAAAAGTTGTTAGTGGGTGAACAGAACAGGAGCCACTGAGAAAAAGAAAATCAATGCACCTTTTTTTTTCCCCAGTGAGAACAATCTAGTGGAAGAAAGAAGAGAAAAGCATACTTGGTGAAGGTATAGGATAAAAAAGGAGAAGAGGGGCTGGGGTTTTAGCTCAGTGGCATAAGCGCCTGCCTTGCAAGCATGTGGCCGTGAGTTCGATCACTGGTACCGGTAAAAATACAAAAAAAAAAAAAAAAAAAAGAAGAAAAGTTTTCCTCTTTCAATCTAAACCAGAGGTTCCAAAAGTGTCTCTTGGCAGACCTGCGAATGCAGACCCTGTGAGAAGCCAAACAGCCCTTGGCAGAGCTTGCAGGGTGTCCAGGGCACAGAATCCCTGTGTGCATGGGATCTCCAGGAGATCAAATGTGAGCCCCGAGACTGGTGACTTGAGCATCTCAGGATAGGGCTGCTAAGGCCTAGAAGGTACTGTCAAGACTCTGGTAAGTTTACAGCCCCATGGGAAGGCCAAGCTGGCAATAATCTGTCGCCCAAGCGCTGGCTGGAAGCTGCCTCACCTGTGACACTTGGGGAGTGACTTTCAGTCCCTGTGCCAATTGCATTTAGCTCCAAACTGGAGCTGCCCCAGGTGTATTGATAGCTCCTATGGGCCACAGCCAAGGGCGTCAGGTGTGTTTACCAGAAGGCGGAGGGCACTGACTCTCCCTAGGAGGGGTGCCAGGCTCTCCTCCTCCTCTACCAGGCAAGTGAGAGGGCCACAGCTTGTGCAATGTTTGTTGAAAGAGGCCATGGAAGTGCCTCTAATTATCACCACAGTAATTATAGGCTGACTCTTTTACAGAGTGTGTTCAAAAAAGAGACTTGGAGAGTCTCCCCAAGATGCATCAACTGCCTTAGGCACAGATTCCCAGGAGCAGGCACTGTCAGGTTTGGCTGGGCTGATAGAGGGTCAAAGACTCAAAGACTCAGGTTTGACCTGGGGACCATCAGTCCACCCAACCCACCTGTCACCTCTCTCCACCCCACACTCATATACTTTATACACTTGCAGTGACCTACTTATAGCCTCCCCATGAGCTATGTTCTTTTTCACTTCCAGATCTCTGACCAATCCCAGGAGGCTTTCTCATTGCCTTACAGTCTGGGCACTTAGCTTCAATGTCACCTTTTCCAGGAAGTCTCACTAAACCAAGCCTCAGCTGAGTTAGGTACTCCTCCCACTATCCCCTGAATTTGCCCACCTCCTAACACTTAGCACAATGAACTCTTGAGCCTGCTTGCTTGTCATTCACTACTTTAGACTGTGAATGCTTTGTGGGAAAGGACTGTGGCTTGTCGCCATTTACACCCCCAGTGCCCAGCATAGGATTTAGCTCAGAATAGAAGCTCAGCATTTGTGGAATGAATGCTTGAGTGAGAGAAAAGGCAAAACAGGATTCAGAACAACTGGTTTGGCAGGGTACTATGTTGAGCATCTGCTCCTGTCCCCCACCATTTCCTCCTTGCCTGAGAAAGAGAGTCATTAAGAGCAGGGCCTGCTATAATGGTGCATGCCTGTAATCCCACCACTCAAGAGGCTAAATCAGGGGGATTATTGCAAATTTGAGGCCAACCTGGGCTATGTAGTGGGTTCAAGGCCAGCCTGAAGTACACAGTGTAATTTGGGAGACAAGAACCCTTGTCTCCCAAAACCAAAACCAAAACAAAACAAAACGAAAACCCAGCCAGGGGAGTGTGATAGCACATGCCTATATGCCCAGGATTCTGGTAGGTGGAGGAAAAAGGCTTATAAATTTGAACTCAGCTAAGAGAGAGAGAGAAAGAGAGAGGAGAGAGAGATTAAGGACAGAAAAATCTATATGTTAATTGTATTATAGAGAAACAAAATCTAAAGTAAGGTATGCGGTAAACTTATTAGATATTGGGCCACTTGTTTTATTATTTATTCATTCATTTTTATGGTACTGGGCCATAAAAATGAACCTAGGGCCTTTATACAATTAAATCCCCAATTTTTTTTTTAGTGTCACCAAATTGCCAGGGCTGGGCTCAGACTTTCTTTCTTTTTTTTTTTTTTTTTTTTTTTTTGTCTTTTTCATTTTTTATCGGTACCGGGGATCGAACTCACAACCACCTGCTTGCAAGGCAGGAACTTATGCTGCTGAGCTAAATCCTCAGCCCCCTGGGCTCAAACTTCAATCCTCCTTCCTTAGTCCCCCAAAATGCTGGCATTGGAGGTGCACCACCTTACCCAGCTTGAGCTTTTAGATCTATAAATTTGTCTGAATAAATATGAAGAATCAGTAGTTTTTCAAACATTTTTGCACTGTTCTCTTTTGCACTGTTTCTCTAAAAGTCAAATGACACTTGTAGATCTTTGCATGTTGTTTCACAGGTCTGTGATGCTCCATTTAATTGTTTTGTTTATTATTATTTTTTTTTTACTCTCTCTCTCTGGTCTTCAAAATGAATACTTACTTTCCATACATCTTCAGCTTCATGCACTCCTTTTGCATCCTCGTTCTGCTATTAAACCTATTGAGTTAATTTTTTGTTTCAATTATTATAGTTTCCAGCTCTAGAATTTCCATGTTCTTCTTCAGTTGCTCTTCTGTGAACACATTTTCTATTAAGGCCTCAAAAACTATAATAGTTGCTTTAAAGTCCTTATTACTAATTCCAACATCTGAGTCATCTTTAAGTGAATTTTTTAGTATTATTCAGAATTTTCTGTTTCTTTGTATGTTTAGTACATCTTATGTATTGAACACTATCAACAATACACTGTAGGGGCTGGGGATTTAGCTCAGCGGCATAAGCACCTGCCTTGCAAGCAGGTGGTCATGAGTTCAATCCCCGGTACCGATAAAAATGAAAAAGACAAAAAAAAAAAAAAACAATACACTGTAGAGATCTTAGATTCCATCCTGTCCCTCTCAAAATGTTAATTTTTTTTCTAGGAAGCAATTAACTTATCTG